AAAACCGAAAAAGTGAAACACACAGTTAAGTGAGCTGATTCAATGAACATTTCCCTCGAATTTAGCAAACGGCTATTCAGAGAAGGCTAAAAGAACACTCAAGAATTTAAAGGTCAAAACAAGTCCAAGGATAGAATGGTTCACATCATGCAGTTCCAATCATCAAGAGGTACATGCGTTACTCGATCCTGCTGCATTAACGTGCAGCCAACATTGAATAAAACACCACCGCAGGAATTCGAAATGTAAAGGTTACGATCAGATGAGACAATACCCCGTTGTCAGAAACTTCGTTTGCCATCAGCATCACAATAAAACTGACTGGTTTCTTAGCCAAAAAGGAAATAGGTCTAAGCTCAAAGAGTAGTTAAGAACTGCTGATAGGCCAAAAACATTTCGTATATCATAACACCATGTGAGGATTTCCAAAGGTTGTAACCCTTTTTGGAAATTGATGAGAATAACGTCTACTACCAAAAAAAATTCTCAAAAAGAGTATCGACTCTAAACAAAAACAACATTTGAAGAATTTGACGTACAATTGACTGTTGATCTTTAGTGAACTTAACCTCGTGGTTGAAGTAAGCAAGAAGGTTATCAATAAAACAATCATCGAGAATTGTTCTAAGGATCCACACAAGTTTCCACAATGAGAACGAGTCAAAGGACATTAATTCGATCCCACCAACTAACACTTACTAAACTTCGCAACATCTAGCGCTTACTCGCTCTCTCTAACACGAACTTCGAATATTTCAAATAACTTCAATAAAGATGTGACTCTGCCCGTTATTCCTAAAGAACGCATGTCGCACAGTGACATCACCAATTCAGATCTTACAACTCAAATCACTTAAATCTTTTCGTTTCACGTTAGATATGACTCTGCCCGCCCTTCATAGGGAACGCATGTCGCATAATAACATCACTGTTTCGGGTCTTCAGTTGGTCTTAACCAACTCATACCACAAGTATTTTTCGTTTCCCAAAACTCGTATGTAGATCCGACTACGCCCGTAATTCCTAGGGAATGCATGTTGTAGAGTGGCATTACCATTTCGGATCCTCAACTGGTCTCAACCAACCTTCTTCTAACTGAGATTTTCTAAATCGCGTCACTTCAATGTAAACACTAAATCTTCCCGTAATTCCTAGGGAACACATGTTGCAGAGTATCGGTCTGATGTTGAAAGTCATCAAACAGTCCATTTCTTCACCGATGAGGCATAATCCCGACACGAATTTTCTTCTTCTTCAATAAGATGTGACTAATCATGCAGAATGAGGGTTGCACAAACGTGTCGAAAGACAACAAATCCGGAAGTCTTGACATCTAAATGACGTCATGACCGACACATTACTACAATAAAAGAAGATCCTAAATATGCTTTGCACAAACCACATTCTGATACCAAATTGACAAGCCTGACCCTGATATTTTCTAAATACTCGAGGTAGGCACGTGCTGGCCAACACCCGAAGGTGACGAAGCCATACTAACATGCATGCAAAGTAATGAACATAAATAAAACTTGTAAATTTAATTATAATGAATAAGCAATTGTGGATCGTGTTCAGAGCATACAACTAAATCGAGACATTGGAAAGGAAATAATATAAAATTGAATGAACAAAAAGATGGGTCCTACACCGAGAGGACTCGAAGATGCCAATGCGGGAATGTCTTGACACCAGGATTGTACGCCTCGATTCTAAGTCATGAGGGGGCACAAAAATTAAACATGAGCGGACCAAGTTGATTTATAAAGTGTAAATATAATTTACTCATAAAACGTAACCATTAAATCATGTTTTTCATGTATGCGTTTCTACTATTAAAACATGCATTTTAGAAGAGGTCCACTCATAGTTACTTCGCCGCAAACTAGCGAAGACAGAAACGTCACAATAAATGTACCTAAGCACATAGAGGGTCCAATTAATAAAACACTATCAAAATGATTGAATTTGGGAAAACAGACATCAAAATGGATTCAGGACGTCGAATTACCCTAAGAAAGGTCACGGGTAAATTTTGAAAAACTCAATAAAAAGTTAAAACGAGAATATTCCATCCGGGTCGGGTCAAACGGGCCACTGAGTCAACGGGCAAGGTCAGCTGGGCTGGACCTAAAACTGAGCCAAAGGTTAATGGGTCTAGGCCTAAAACTGAGCCAAAGGTTAATGGGTTTGGGCCAAGTTCCATTTAGGTTTGGGCTTAGGTGGTTAGGGCTGAGCCGGGTAGTTAATTGGGTTGGGCCCAGGGCTAGGTTTTGGGTTGGGTTCAGGGTGGTGGGTTGGGCTGCCTCGGGATGGGTCTGGCCCGTTAAGCTCGTGGGTCAACGAACCTATCGAAGGAAAAGGTCGGATTTCGATTGGGAAACTCTTAAGCTCCGATCGAGCTCAAATCTTAACCAAACCAAGTCATTCCATATATCAAAATGAAGCCCGGAAGACCAGGAATCGAACCATACCTTTGGTTCCCACAGTCGTGCCCGGAGTTGGCCGGAAAATGGCTCGAAGCCACTGGATACTCGCCGAAAACCTAGAAGAATACTTTTCGAGCTTAACTATAATCAAATCATTCCAAAATCGTCTCAAACATCACCTAAACACCCTAATTAACTCTATCTAGGTGTAGTTATGAGTGGGATCGACTTACCTCAAAGGAAGAACACGTGCATAGTGATTGTGCACAGTGCACAGTATAGAGAAGAAGAGAGCGTGAGATTGAAGAGGTGAGGGAGAGAATGGAAGGTCTGAGTGGTAGTGATGGTGGTGTGATGGTTGCTGCCTGTGTGTGTGTATGTTTGTGTGTGTGAGTTCGCCGGTGAGGAAGGAAGAGTGAGGTCGAGAGAGTGTGTGCTATGGAAAAGGAAAGAAAAAAAAAGGAAAGGAAAATAGGCCGAGGACAAGAATCAAGGGTGAGCTCCTTGGGCACACCAAACCAATTAAGGCAAAAAATAACCCAATTAAAAAATATCTAGCCCAAGCACAGGGAAATTACGAAAATACCCCTTCATTCTGTAAATTTCGGGATGGGTTGTTACAATATCCGACATAGATTCCCATCTTTCGTTGAGGCCCTATTTTTGTACGTAAGGGCGGCGAAATCGGCACATAAACTGCACAATTAGAAACTCGCAGATGCAATATGTCGGGTTCGTATCTAGTAACCAACTAAATGGCGCTATATGGTTGGGTCGCAACAGGCTTCAGGCGGACTAACATGGCTGTGTGCAATATTGCATGGCCCCAAGCAGTGATCGGGAGCTTGGTACGTATGACCAACGATCGAGCAATCATTTGTAAGCATTTAATGAATGCCTTTGCCAGACCATTTTGGGTGTGAACATGGGGTACTAGATGTTCAACTTCGACCCCAACCAACATGTAACAGTCATCAAAAGTTTTAGATGTGAATTCTCCAACATTATCCAATCGAATAGATTTGATCAGATAATCAGGATGGTGAGCCCTGAGTTTGATAACCTGAGCCAACAGTTTGGAGAATGTAGTGTTCCTTGTGGACAACAAGCACACGTGTGACCAACATGTGGAAGCATCGACCAAACCCATAAACTATCTAAATGGTCCGCATTGAAGGTGAATCGGTCCACAAATGCCCCCTGAATCCGTTGTAGAAAAATGGAAGGATTCAAATGAATCTTGTCATAAGAAGGCTTAGTAATAAGCTTTCCCATTGAACATGTTTGACATGCGATTCCTTGAATCGAACCTAAACTTCAGGTTAATAGATGCCCGTGTGATGATTTGAGGAGACGGTGCATCACTATTCGTCAAAGATTTCCCAAATGATCATGCCAAATTGTAATTTCGTGCGTGGTCCCAGAGGTAGGGTCGGCCATATAATGGTTCTCTATGAGGCGTATGGTCATAGTATACAGACCACTTGGGATACGCTTCATCTTCTCTAGAATACGCTTCTAGACATATTCATAGAAAGTTATGCATAGAAATTCAACTCCATTTTCTAAATGGGTTTCATCGTGGTAATTGTTATCTTTAATGTCCTTAAAACTCAACAAGGCTCTTCCGGAACGTGGAGAATAAAGTGTCTCATCAATGGTCAAGATTGTACCATTTGACAACATTATACGTGCCTTACCGTATCCTTCGATTAGGTTGGATCAGCCTGAGAGGGTTGTCAGATGTGCATTATTAGGTATGAAGTTAGTGAAATAGATGTGTTCACACAAAACGGTGTGTGTGGTTGCACTATCTTCCAGACAACTAATTTCCCCACTAGTCATATGTAAAATGAAAAATTAATTTGAATCGATCACATGCATAAAAGTTCTTAAAACAAATATCCATTCAAAATAATTTAAGTATTCAAGGCCGAAAATTAATTAAAACTTAATATCCAAAAAAAATCAACAACAAATAATCCAAACGTAAAGGAAAATTGTTCAAAATTAACCAAAAACAAGGAAGGGGTTCGGCCACTACTATGGAATTTGGCCCCATTGTCTTATTTTAACTAGAAAATAAGTTTATGTCTAAGATTCTAATCTTTCATAGGTGTGGTATCCTCTTGAAAGACAAAAACCACCATTTTGGTGCTCTCCGGTTCATCCACTTGCACAAAGTTTGATTCAAACTTCTTACGACGAGAATGATATTCGGCTATAACCTTCTGGGGAGCTCAGCAAACACAGAACCAGTGGTCCTTATAACCACAATTATAACACATATCTGCATCCATAGTTTCATGTGATTTACCCTTATTCTTGAAGTTTGGCGCATTGAGAGCGAGGTTAGGGCTTTTTTGGGCTTTGTTTCCTCCCTTAGATGGGTCTTGGCTCTGTTGAACTTGACGGGATGGCTTCTGGCCGCCCCTACCACGCCTCTTTTAGTGTTTTGGGCGTTGGTTCGTGCTATAGTGTGCTTCAGGCACATCAGTTGTCCTAGTAGGTCAAGCTTGATGATTCTTCATCAACAGCTGATTCTGCTTTTCAGCGAGAAGTAAAACAGAGATCAAATCCAAGAACTTGGTAAACTTCTGAGCTCTATATTGTTGCTGCAGGACAATATTAGTAGTAGAGAAGGTCGAATATGTCTTTTCCAAAAGATCATCTTCGGTCAAAGTTTCGTTACAAAACTTAAGAAATGATCAGAATCGACAAACTTCAGAATTATATTCATTCACAGACTTAAAGTCTTGGAAATGCAAATGTTGCCGATCATGTCTTACTTCCATTAAGAAGATGTCCTTTTGGTGATCAAAACGATCAGCCAAAATGACCCATAATGCTTGTGGATCCTCCTAAACAAGGTACTCGATATGTAATGCGTCATGAATATGTCTTCGGATGAAAATCATGGCAGTGGCTTTATCAGCTTCGCCAGCCGGGTTGTCCGTCTCATCTTTAATGGCAGGATGCAAATTCTTTGCAGTGAGGTAGAGTTTCACATCTTGGACTCACTTGAGATAGTTCTTTCTAAAGACCTCTAAAGCAGTGAAGTCGAGTTTGTTCAAATTTGATATGTTCCTATCAAAAAATAAGTGGACAAGATATGGTTAGTGCAATGGAGAAAAAAAAAATCAATTCATTCACATAGGAGTAGAACATTCAGGTTCTAAAAGACATATATTGGTTAAAATTCACATGAAAAAGCTTCGGGTTTTCATGAGTGATGTTTTTAATGAAAACTTCAGGTTTTCAAACAAGGCATGTTTATAGAAGCTTCAAGTTTCGAAATAATTATAAACTTCAAGTTCATATGTTCCTTCAGATAAACGCAAATATATATATATACATAAATATACAACAAGGAAATATGCAAATAGAACCTCAGGTCTATAATTATAATTGAATTAATTATTTGGACCTTGGACCAAAATTAAAGTGTGGGTGAAAAAATATAAAACCCATTAGGCTTAAAAATAATTAGGCAATTAAATACGAGGCCCAAAATAAAAGGCCAAAGCCCACGGATGGGCTAATGAAAATAGGTGTCGTGCATCCCACGCCCAAATATTGAACGGGTTTGGTTTCGGGCCGAGTAGACATGCAGGCCCAACATCACAAAGTAAGCAGTTATATTCGCAAGCCCAAAGTAGAAGCCCGTGAAAGGTGCGGATTGGCTGCGATACGACGCATGTGAGAGACGGCAGGAGCCCAGATAGATCTCGGGCCAGATCATCATTAAAGTCTAACGGGTTGGTGATGTGGGTTGAAACTCACGGCACAAGCATGCCCAATAACATGGGTGATGTGCGAATAGACCGAATGGAAATTGAGGCCCATGAAGGCTCAGGTTGGGACCTTCAGGCCACCCCATTAACACTGGGTGTGGTGATCCGCTGAAATTAAGTCGACGGCTCCATGGTCGGTGCAAGCTATAGTTCATCGGAGAACCAAGTTTTTGTCGACGGAGGTGAAATCTCAACATCGGGGTAAGGAGAACCGAAAGAATTCAATCGAATTCGAATAAAAACTCATGAAATTCTTCTGGAATTTCGAGAAATCGTTGGTAAAAACTATGAGTTTCGTCCAAATTACACGACTGCCAGTCGTGTTTCGATGGAAAAATCAACGGGGAAGACCTAGGCTTTAGGCCGAGGGTTGGGACAGTGGTGCCTCAATGCACCGTTATGATTTTTGGGCTTGCAACCTGGGTTTCGATTCTGGGCTGGGCTTGTCGAGCCGTTGCAGGTTGCTGGCTTGGTGCTATCGACTTGCACGATTTGAGGTGAGGTGTTCTAAGAACCCTAGCTTTCCCAATTTCAATTTTTTTTCAATTTTTTCAATTCAATTCAAATATTTTAATGCATGGACATATATTTGATGCAATTCATGGCACTATCAAATTCACATAATTCAACAATTATGAATTTATACACAATTGATGTAGAATCTCAAATTCGAAAAACGTAAAGTTGGGTCATGCATTATGGTGAATATTCGTGCTATTAGGGCTGCAAAAATATCGAGATAAAAACCGTTGTTTTGGAAGAACCTGATTGCATGATGATATGGATTAACTGGTTTGATGCAATAAAAGCTCCAACGTCAGATTCCTAAGCACATCGGTAGAAACATGCTGATAACGTGTTGTAGCCTATTTTATCTGACTAAGGGGAAAAGGCTAGCAGCAAGGGAAGAGAGAAAGGAAAGATGTGTTTGTAGAATCGTAGGGGAATGTGTGTTAAGGATGTGTTATCCACCCTACGTGGTGCCTTTATTTATAGTAATAAGGAGAGGAAAGCATTCATCCCCAAGGAATACAAGTCCATATAGGAAAGAATAACTATATCCAATATAATCTAGGATTTACACAATCACACTTAAACTAGGAAAGTTCACAACAAGTTTAAAATGTGTCTAATTATATGTACGTGTATTATAAACTAACAAAAAATTTATGTTGTCACATGTAAGTAATGTGTTCGCATTGATGACAAAAGTTCCAACACAATGAGTGACGTAATCAATAAAGTACGAATAATTATGTTTTATATAAAGACGAGTGTTGACAATACATATTTTAAATTGTGCTGATGACTACTATTTTAATGATTCGTGTTGACAATGTATTTTCAAACAATCATTGTAACCATCATGTCAAAACGACTGGGCTCTAAATTTGGTGCCATCAAACAAAAAGAAGGATTCCAAACCAATGAAATGGTACACATATTGATGAAGTAATGGTCTTTTTATGTAACACCATTTCAACTTCTTTCCAAAATGGTTTCAAGTAAGAAATAAGGAATGAAATTTCTAACAGACTTACTCAAACTATTTCTTGTTTTAATTGAGAAAAAGAAGAGGTCGGATTGTGTTTACATGAAATTAAACAACTAGATTTTGGAGTTTTACAAAAGAGAAAAAGAAGGGGAATATAAAACGTGAATCTTACTTTTATGAAGAAATACAATATGTATTACATGATACAAATAATTCATGTTATTTTAAAGTCGTTCTACTTGCATGGACATCGAATGTCAAATCCGCATTTACAACAAATCTCTAATGTGTTCACAATGACGACAAAAGTCCCAAAACAATGAGTGACGTAACCAGTAGAGTGCACACAATTTTGTTTTTTTATAAAGACAAGTGTTGACGATACATATTTTAAATCGAGAGGACGACGATTATTTCAATAATTCGTGTTGACAATGTATATTCAAACAATCATTATGACCGTTATGTCAGAACTACCGCAGTCAAAATCTTGAGCAACCAAACAAAAAGAAGAATCCCAAACCAATGAAATGATACAAACATTTAGATTGTCTAACCCCACACCAACACAGATATTTAATCCCTAACCCTAGTAAAAAGTAGGGGAATCCTCCAACCAAGTTGCATATTTTATTTTTCACTTTTGGCCATGAGTGTTTGGATAGTGTTCTTGGGTACCTGTCGAGTTTTGTTTGCTTCCCCCGCCCGAAAAACCTTACAACCAAAAAGCACGACTGCAACCAATGCATGCCACTTTTACTTTTTTGTTCGGTCGGCATGCATGACACTTGCCCCCAACAAAACACCAAACCCTAACCCTAATTTCAGTTCCATATTTATCCTCATCTTTTCAGTAATTTCCCTAAGTCAGCACGGCACTACGAAATAAAGTTGTCACCTACGCGAATTTAATTTAACCAAACTCAGTACGAAAAGACATAAATGACACTGAAAATACAGAAGCAAAGAAAGGAGAGTTTTCAGGGCTGGTTTAGTATTACTGTGCTTTGAAAAAAAACTGCCGTGAGAATAAGCGGCTGTGCTGTGAGAATAAGCGACTGTGAAATAAATTAGCAGAGTGTTTGGTAAACTTTTTTGTAAAAGTGCTTTTGGAAAAAAAAAACAATCTAATAGTAGGTCTTTTCATTAAAGGAGCACTATAGCTCCGTGTGCTTTGAAAAAAAACCAATTTTTCAAAGCTATAAATAACAACTTCAGCTTTTTCCTTTGATTTCAGCTTATTCTCACAGCAACTTCCAAAATAAGCCCTTTTTTTTCAGTTTACCAAACACCTAAAACCCTCACAGCTTTTTTTCATGAGTGCTTTTTTTTTAAACACCTCACTCCCAAACCACCCCTCACTGTCTCCTAAACACAACCAGCCATATGTTATTATATCAATGAAGGAATACTTAAAAAAACTTTCTTTCGCAAACAATGCTACTATTACCGTCTATTTATACTATCACACAAATAAAGATAAGAACTACACACGTTGACGAATCTTACTTCTATTAAAAAAAATATATATATATATATATATATATATATTAAGTGTAGCGTTACTCTTCTTCCACATACATAAAAATCTATAACGTTTAGCCCCGTATACCAAGTCCATTAAAAAATCTTTCAAAAAAAAAAAAAGACCGCAAATACATGTAACTCAATTGGTTACAAGTATTCACTATTACAGACCAATGTCGAGTTCTGATTTCTCTAATTCCTCTATCACCTAGTCAGAAAAAAAGAGGACACGGAAACTGTGACACTTGTCACGAAAAGAGGCATGTAGCATGAACATAAGGTGGTGCGATGGGTGATTGTAGCAAGCGTTTTTCAAGCAGAATAGTCAGGACAGAAACTTGAAAAGAGGGGAGATAAGATTCTTTGAAATGGCCTTGGAGTCGAGAGTCACGAGCGGTGACCGACAGATTTGGGAGTACGGTCAAGCAAATGGAGGAGTGAGAAAGTAGAGAGAGAGAGAGACAGAGATGACGAGAAACGATTGGAGCACTTTACTCGCATGAAAACCATGTGTTGCGGTTGCTGGCAAAAGAGCAAACCACCAAAATTATATTTCACATTTCTTCACACACCTCATCACCCTTAAATTTCGGTTTTGATCAAATGGGTTTTTGTATCTTAGCTACCAAAACCCTATCCCTTTCTCATCCAAACAAAAATAAATAAAAGAAAATATTTTCCAATGAATAAAAAAACCAACCAAAAATCATAATCCAGTTAATTACCTCTTAAAAGCAGTTTTCAAAACAAATTGATACACATCACGAACGGTAATAAATTTTATATTCAATTCGCATAAATAATAAGTTTGATATTTAATTATTATAAATTATTTATTGCACCACGTGACTCAATCATCTTATAAACAAAAACCACCTGAAATATGCTAGCATTTATATATATGTGTGTATTAAGATGCTTGTATGTGATGTGATGCAGTGATAGTGCTTATGAAGAAATGTTAGGTTTGAAGATCCCAATAATATGTTGACAGTTAATGTAGTTGGAAGCAATTGGTTTTTCATTTGTGTGAGTGAAAAAGTAGAGACACTAAATAAAGTTAGTGTCTGAAAAAAAGACGGCGCGCCAGACAAAAGAACATAAATATTTTTGAATAAAAGACGCATAATTAATTAATGCCTTTATTTTTTTATAAAAGGAGCTTCACATTCTTCCAATCATCATAAGAGACAGGTGAAATGAAAACAGTATATATATATGTTTGACTTTTGTCTAGCAAAATCTTGTTGGAATCTATTGATCATGTGGGACCGGTTTAAGATTTCATCAATTTTAAAACTCAACTATGACCCGTACGACACACCGTTACGTTGATGTTCCGGAAATAAACTCGACACAACTACGTACAAAAAATGCATGAACATATAAACTTTCAGATAGGGTAGCCCTATAATATGGTAGGTTAACTAATCCTCAATAAATCATGAATTATCAAATTAGCACTAATCAAGATTATATATCCTCACACAAACTCTTTAAATTTCTTAACGACCCACCACGGAATGACCATCATGAACCAATTCCACGCGGGCCAAATTCAATCAACACGCAAAAACCTCCCCACCTAGAAAATGGTGAAAAGGGTGCACCATTTTCTCATCCAATGAGGGGACCACTAACGCCGTAACCGATGGCTCCGTTAGCTGGAATCTGCCGTGAGGGTAGGGGCCAAAATAAAGCAAAATACAACCCCCCCTAACTAGCATTGTGTTAATCGCCCAATCCCTAACCGTACGACGTCGTATTCATGCTAAGCCGGACCCATTATTGACTCTTCCACGCCTGCTTGTGCCAAGTGTCAAACTTTGGGCCAACCTCGCCCAGTAAAACCTCTTTAATTTTCTGTTAGGTCTCGTGTATCAGTCAGGATTCGACGCTTCACACGCCGTGGTCGTTGGTCCAAAACCAACTTCACATATTACCCCTGTAGTATCATGTAATTACACTACTACCCCATGTGTACGAATTACACTTTCCATTTCCTAACTGATCCTAAACAGTCACAAATGTAGCTCAAGTAATATAAAACATTTATTACTGTACTCGTGGTCCTAAGTATGATCCAATGTCCTATGTATTAAAAAAATAATTATACAGAGGGCCAACCTGATTTGTGGTATTTGCCCTTTTTTTTTATTCAAAAATTTTAGGAGCAGAGGCTACCCCGTTTCAAGTTTGGGCATACCACAAGCCTTCGTGAGAATTTGCAAACAAGGTCTTAACTTTTTTATTTTTTTAATTTTACAGATCATCACCAAGAGAAGTTACCGACAGTGAAAACTCAAATGTCTTTTGAATTTGACTCAATTAAATAACGAAGATAATATATTTTTTAGTGCATGAAAATCAATTAGTAGTAAGTCTAGTGTATTTTTCTCCACTCAATCGTAAGAGGTCTCAAATTTAACCTACCGAAAAGACGACGGCTATATATATTCATATATATATATATATATAAACACACACACATATACATATATATATATATTTGTATTGAGCGTAATACTTAGTCGTGCATGCCGTGATTGCATGGCTCTATGACACCGTGAGTAGATTATAAAGTATTTGTTAATTAATGTACAAATACACAGAAAGAAACAGAAAAGTAAAGTAAAATTAGTTTATATAATTTCGTGTTTAGAATTATTATATTAATATAATAATATTAAAGACCAAGTCGTTTACCGGGAAAAGGTGTTATCAGTTATATCTATTGGTTCCATGGGACTTTGTGTTGTTTGGCTTCTTTCTTCTCTCTTCACATTTCTCTCACTCCCTTCCTCAATAACTTTTCACCATTTTCGATTCTTTCTGAGAGTTGAATGAGATCTGGGCAGTCACTTAAATTCAGGGTAGCTCTATAAATCCTCTCTGTTTTTGCTAATTTTTTAAAAATATTTTTCTCTGTTCTGAAGATTTCACCGAACAGCAGAGAATAAAGTGGCATTATCCGTGGAGATTTCTGTTTTTCCCATCTTATTCAATAAAACTGAATTTTCAGTGATTTAAAGATCTGAATTTTTTCAACCAGATGCTGCTGGGTGTAATGTTTTTGGTGAGCTGGGTAAACTCTGATGGTTTGTTGTGTTGTTAGCTCAAAGCTGGGTTTTTTGAGCTGAAGATTCTCAAAATTTGCCTTTTTTTTTTCTTTGTAGCAGGTGATTCGATAAAATGGGGAAGAGAAGGATGAAGAAATCTTGATTTCGAGAAATCGAAATCGAAAAATCCGCCTTGGGGAGAACGGAATTGAGCGTGTTAGAAGAAATCTAAGAACTTAACAGGTGGGTGGGTCCCTCTGAAGGCAGAGGGATCGGTATGGGTGAAGAGGGAGGAGATCGGAGTTCTTGCTGTTGGATGCCACCAACACCTTACAGGCCTATTGTCCCAAGACCGGAGCCCAAATTGCAGCCGGAGATTGCGACGGCCTCGAGACCCTTGGCCTTCGGGGTAGAAGAAACTCAAGAGAATAGAGTAGTTATAGACTTGGATCCGGATCCGGAGGAAGAGAGCGGGTTTGTTTACCATGGGGCTGGGGCCGGAGCCGGAGCCGGCGTTGAAAGTTCAACGGACGCTTATTTTTGCCGCGTGGCGCAGTGGAGAGACGTTCCTTGTAAAGAGCTCATGATCCTTGCGGTGGCCTCTGCAAATGACGGGAGTGGTGGTGCAGTGCTTGGAGATACTCAGCGTAAGTGCAACCAATTGAGTTTTAATTGTTATTTGTACCACATTTACTGATCGGGGCGAATGACGGCGCAGGTGCGAACTCACGTGTGTCCGGATCCACATCCGACTCACGTGCGTCTCGACTCACATCGGGCCCACGTGCGTCTGGCCCTCTAATTATTGGAGGACAGTTGACGCACGTGTTCTTTTTTCTCCTCTATTAGGAGAAATTCTTGAGTACGGACGTATGCCTTTACCACCCACGAAAATAGTGGGCCCATATTCTCTCCCTTCTCACGTGATGAGAGATAAAAACACACTAAGGTCAACTAACTTTTCATAGGGTTGTTTAGTGGCAAATGAGCGGAGAGACTTACATGTATACTGCTTTTTTCTCTCACGTGAGGAGAGAAGATAGATATAAAAAGGGTACTAACCTGGTTGCAAGGTGAGTCCCGTATAAAGCTTTATACTTGATTTTTGCTACGAACTCTAATCTTTTACTATCTTACACCTCAAGCAAAGCATTTTTAAACAAATTCATCAGTCTTGAGAAGTGGAGAACATAGTTACCGTAGGAGAAGCAAACTCGGCAGTCACTGAATTTAAGGGTAGGATAGCCGCCTTAGCGTGGACAGCCAGTTGAAGTGACTACAAATAGCATGAATATGATAGTTGTCAGAACAAATTAAACATCCGAAATGAAAATATTGATAACAAGTTATAGGATTGTTCAGGATTACGATATCTAGAAGATAGTAATGACCGCTAGATACACGCATTATGTATGATAGAACAAGTAATGAGCCAGTTTTCACACGTCATATGTCATATATTCTGACTGCAATAATGAGTTGTGTATTGATATGTCGTATGAATTTCTGATTCTCGGTATGAATTTCATCTTGGGGAACAAGTTCTCCATGGTTAGTTGATTACCACCAATTTTTTTACCAGATTTCAGATTTATGTTAATTTTAAGTGCAACTCTATAAATCAACAACAAAGTTTGTAGTTTGTTTTTGTTACCTTTCTGATCAGTAGATGAACCAATGTTTCTATGCAGATGAATATTCGTTCCCTGACAACCATCCTTATGATCTGAATGTTCCACCTCCGACTACATATGGCCAATTTGCACCTATAACACCAGATAAGTCCATGAGAGTAGACAGTGTTCAAATGTCTCAAATTCCGAGCTCCAACGCAGACGATGGACGAGGCCAGGAGATAGAAGAGCAATGGGATGCTAATTCTGCGACAATTAACATAATTGATCTGGAAAACAATAAGGATATAGAAAAATCTGCCGTGGATTCATCACAAGCTACTTTCTCCACGCAGCTCCAGGAACATTGCAACCCTGACAAGGAGGTGAACATCATTATAGACTTGAACAATACACCACAACCAAAACAAAGAAGGAGAAAGCACAGGCCGAAGGTGATTATAGAAGGCAAGCCAAAAAGAAACCCACAGCCTTCTGGTTCTATGGAAAATCCAAAACCCAAACGTAAGTATGTGCGGAAGAGTACACTCGAGAAAAACAAAACTCCTCCACCACAGGAATCTACAGAGCATATTGATTCAAATAATCTGAAGCCTCCGAAGAGATCATGCAGAAGGACTTTAAACTATGCCGACACAGAAGAAACAATAGATGGAATTTCCTCAAGCAAGTCTTTCAATGTGGGTTCACAATCACAGGAGATGAATGTTGGCACCGATGGAGTTCAATCAAATTCAACTGGACCGTGCAGGAATGAAGTTGAATTGGTGGCAGATAACACCCAAGCAGGCATAGCCCAAGATCTCGTCCGTTCTACAAGCCGAATGCTGAAACATTACTTGTCATTGCCAGACCAGCAACCTCCAGTCACACCACAACAAATTAGAGGTTCTACTACATATGTTAATTCCCAAAAGGAGGCTGCAGAAGAAAAAGGACAAATGAGCACTTGTAGTGGACAGGCAAACACTGCACAAACCATGTTGGATTGTGACACTCGATCATCCCAACGAAGTGCAAATGATTCCACCTGCAGCACAACTACAGTTCTGGCAACAGAAGAAGAGCAAGCAAAAAGATCAGAGAGAAACTATTTGAATGCTGTTGAGCAAGCATATCCTAGAACTGGAAATTTGTTCGGGGCTAACTATAATAATTTGCCGGCATACTACAATGTAATGTCCTGGGTGCATTTTCCATACATATACAAGAAGAAGAGGACCGACAAGGCGCAAAATTCTACCATACCAAGCACCTCATATCGTGTGACTATGGCAGAAAATGTATGGAGACCATCGACAGCTGGCTACTTGACTTCTGGTCCTCAAGTGAATGCTGATAATTTTTCAACTGCACTTGGAGAAGCAGGAAAAACCCCTCAGGAGAGACCGCAAGGTGTTCACCGTTTCCTGCCTTTGTATCAGACAGAGAGGTCAACAAAGAGAAGATCTAGTTGCCCTACAAGGGTCCGTGACTTAGCTTCCCTAACCAGAACACCAGAGCACATTCTGCACAGAACCTGTCTCGTCAAACAACCACCCACTGATGGCAATGGTCAAAGAGTGAACCACTTTGACGGATCTCAGACATGCATTGACGCGCTAGTCACAGACGTCGGTGCAACACTCGCAAAAAAGAAGAGGACAAAGAGAAATCCACTTTCCAGTTCACAACGAGGTCTTGTAATATATCAGAACCAGCAATCTTTCGCCACTGCATCAGGTATGTCAGTACATTATTTATTCCTGTATGCAGGTTGTTTCCAAATCTGCCAAGCAGCTTTCGTAACTGTACCTGATCATCAATCGCAGGTGTTCCTCCAGAAGTACCATTTGAACAACTGCTTTCTGCTATTACTGAGCACTTAAAATGTTTGAACATAAATAGAGAAAATAGCAGCAGATTTGCCTATCAAGGGTATAATGTGATCTCTTCTTATAAGGCACAATATCAAGAGCACAATGCACTTGTTCTTTATAGAAGAGATGGCACTGTTGTACCATTTGATGGTTCTTTTGATCCAATTAAGAAACGTAAAGCACGACCTAAAGTTGACCTTGATCAAGAGACTGATAGAGTATGGAAGCTTCTGCTGGAAAATATAAATAGTGAAGGTATTAATGGAACAGACCAGGAGAAAGAAAAATGGTGGGAAGAAGAGCGTAGAGTGTTCCATGGACGTGCAGACAATTTTATTGCACGAATGCATCTTGTGCAAGGTACAAATTCTTTCATTTTCAGGGAATTCATATTAAGCGTATCATTTCAAATCTTATCTCATGACTACAGTTTCTACGCAGTGCAAGCTACTCGATGAAAAGAAATATGCATTCTGTATATTCATGTACTGACCATCATGATAGTCTCAAGAACCTTGGGAACTCTCATGCATATGCATTATATACAAATAGAACGCTATTCTTTCAATTTTAGATGTAGGTTACAACTTCATATTCTAACAGTATAATATTTTACTTTTAACAGGTGATAGACGCTTCTCTCCGTGGAAGGGATCAGTTCTGGACTCAGTGGTTGGAGTTTTCCTTACACAAAATGTCTCAGACCACCTCTCTAGGTAAAGTGCCGTTTCTATAAACTAGAGAATGACATTAGATAAATTCCAAGTGAGAAACTTTCTAATCTGTACCTCCTTACAGCTCTGCATTCATGTCAATGGCTGCACATTTTCCCCTGAAGTCAAGGAGCAACGAAAAATCATGTGATGAAGACGTTGCGAGCTTCGTAGTAGATGAACCAGAAGTGTGCCTTAGTGAGAATTCAAACCAGCCAGGTTGTGACTGGAGTTCCCTCACGTTCCATGATGCTGAGCATAGTGAAGAAAAAGTTGTCAATGGAAATGAGAACTCTGGAAGCACTACTGAAGGTATCTCAACAAATGAAGCAGAATGCAAGCTATCACATCCATCTGAATCTGGTCCGGGGTTGTACCCTAACTCATTAATGAACAAATCAACCACCAAGATCACAAGAACAGGATCGTACCTGCAGGAGGATATGAGAACTTATGATGGAGTTTCATCTCAAAATTCTGTGGATTCTTCAACTTCACAAACTGTGGAAAAGACAGGATCATGCGAGAGCAACTCAGAAACAGAGTATCCACCTAATAGATGTGAAAACAGCAGTTTAGATCACTCCACTTCGTTTGTGGAGCTTTTACAGAGGGCCGAATCAAGTATGCTGCATTACAGTCTCAAGGGGACCTATATGTCCTCTCATGACACATCAAACTGTGGAGGTTACCAACCTGAATGTATGCAGCATAATGATCAAAGATGTGAGATAAACAGAGAAGAAGCATCCCTAGACCCTTCCAGTAACTGTTGTTTGAATCTAACCCCCCACCCAGGAGTACGGCAAGTTGAGTGCTTTGATTTGTTCGCAGAAGTAACCGAGTCTTCTTATACATCCAAAAATAAATGGGAAGACAGTCTGAGTGAAAGAAGTGTACTAACAGCAGAATCTCCCAGTCAAGATACAATAAATAATAAGCTGACAGCAAATGTTCAAGAAACACCAAGATGTTCCAGAAATTCGTCCAATAACATTCAGGCAGGCAATAATATGGCCCAGTCTCAACTCGGGTGGGTTGGGAACTTGAATAATGTTGACATACATTCTCAGGAGCAAAACAATAAGATACAGCAAAGTCGCTTGAATGTTTCTGGAGGGACCACAGATGTTAGGCAGAAGGCAGCAGAGTTGGGTTTAAATGAGCAGAGTAATTCAGTAAGCAAGGAGTTCACTAGTACAAATGCTGCTACCTCCAAAACAAAGAACAGAAGAGCTGGAAAAGAGAACAAAGATCAACAAGATTGGGACAAATTAAGGAAACAAGCAGAATCAAATGGAAAGAAAAGGGAAAAGACAGAAAATACAATGGATTCCTTGGACTGGGAAGCCGTAAGATGTGCAGATGTTAATGAGATTGCCCAAACCATCAAAGAGCGGGGAATGAATAATATGCTTGCAGAACGAATAAAGGTAAAAGTAACATTAAATATCATTCTGAAATTTTTCAGTGAGCCCATTACACATAGAAAACCTTATCAGCTGAAGTTGATTGAGAAATTTTGTGCAGGATTTCCTTAACCGACTGCACAGAGAACATGGTAGTGTTAATCTTGAATGGTTGAGGGACGTTCCACCTGACCAAGCAAAGTAAGCTTGCAGGATTATTCCAACCCATTTCTAATTATAAAAAATAAACTCTAAAACTAAATCACTTACCTTCCATGTCATATATGTACTGAACATGCATTATGATTACGTGGTTTGCATTCCATAACTATGTGGTGTCTATAGAGAGTATCTGCTGAGCTTTCGTGGATTGGGGCTGAAAAGTGTGGAGTGTGTGAGGCTTTTGACACTGCACCATCTTGCTTTTCCGGTGAGTATATATTAAAAATATGATTGACCAGAATAGATGCAACAGATCTCAATATATATAGTTGTACCTTTGAAGGTGGACACAAATGTTGGACGTATAGCTGTACGGCTTGGATGGGTACCCCTTCAGCCACTGCCTGAGTCACTGCAGTTGCATCTTCTTGAATTGTGAGTTTTATGAGCCTCCTCCATGTTGCTTTTGCAAAGCATATCCAATTGGCACTGGCGCTGATATTTCTGTCTTTTATAGGTACCCAGTGCTGGAGTCCATACAAAAGTATTTGTGGCCACGACTGTGCAAGCTTGACCAAAGAACATTGTAAACACAAAATCAGATAAAATCTTCACATTAGTACACTATATTGTATTTATAAGCTTGATTTTGGAACAGTTGCTTTTCCATGAAAATTGGATACTAACTGGACAAAAACATTTCAATATTTGTGAACAGGTACGAGCTGCATTACCAAATGATAACATTTGGAAAGGTATGCCATCTTATCATTTATGTGAAGTGATTTGTCTTCACTTTCAGACTAAGAACGAATAAAATATCATTCTTTGACACAGGTCTTCTGCACTAAAAGCAAGCCGAATTGTAATGCATGCCCTCTGAGAGCAGAATGTAGGCATTTTGCGAGTGCATTTGCGAGGTTTGCAGTTCAATTGTTCCATCCCTTGCATCTAAAAGCCAATCTCCATTATAGTTCCAATAAATAACAAAACAATTTTGTTTGTCCACCACCAATTA